GCCGGGCCTTTTTTTAAACGCTTGCAATAAATTTGCCGGAAATACGTTATGTATCCGGTAATTTACCGAAAGCTTTAACCGGAACGCCAAACCGGTTAACCCAACCATTTCCGTAATTTAAAAAGGGTTTAACCATTTATTTAATAACTTTTTTAAAAGCTTTTTTATTTTAATGTTTGCCGTATTTAGCAATACCCAATTTTTTACTTTAAAAGTTACCGGGGTTTTGCTTTTATCGTAATACTTTTTGTACGTATTATTTGCTTTTTCCAGCAATTTTTTAGCTTATTTCCTAATTGCTTCCAAAACCCCCGCTTTAATTTTAACCGTTATTAAAGCTTTTTTTTTAATTATATAAAGGTTATAAAGCTTTTGCGGGTAAAACCTTATTAGCAAAAACGCCGGGGTTTTTTTGCAACCCCAAATGCACGCTTATATTATGCATTTACGTTACCAAATGCAACAATAACGCCCAATCGTTTTGCTTTTTGCAACAAAAGCACCGGAAATAATGCTTTACCGTTTGGTTTATTCATTCCATTTATCCATTAATTTGCAAATAATACGTTATCGAAAAATTTTTTGTAACCCCCAAATGTTTTGCAAAGGTTATCCAAAACCCGTTTATAAATAATTTATTTCGGTTCGATATAATCCTTTCGGGCGTTTTTAACAATTTCCAAACGTATATAAATAAAAAGCTTTTTAATTTTTTATTAATTAATTTTATAAACGTTGGAATAAAAAAGCTATATTTAATAAACCGGGTTACCATTACCAATATTGCGTTGCGCTTTTTGCCGGCTTTATTTACCAACGTTAAAAGCTTTCCAATAAAATTTATTAATAATTTTTATTCCGGAAAGTTTGGCATAAATAACAATATTAACAATTTGTAAAATATTTATATTTTTGGCTTCGTTTGCTAGCATATTTAATACGTCCGCATATATTTGCGTACGTTTTTAGCCATACCTGGCCATTTAAATTGCCGTTTAAATTTTTTTAAAATTTTGGCCATGCTTTTGTAATTTTTCGTTGGGTTATTATATTGTTTTTAAAGCATTGTTCGTTGTAACGGCGTTAAATTCGGGATTTAAACTTTTTTTTTATGCTTAAATAAGCCGTTATTAATTTCTTAAACGTTGGGTTTGCTTTTTTAAATACCGTTTTAAACGAAATCGTTTTTTGCTTATGCTTTAAAAATGCGCTTTAATATCGTTTTAATGTTTTTTTA